GGCTGGCTTGAGTATCCAGTGCTTCGAAGCAATTTACAAATGTCATCTAAATTGGAGTCAGCAGAGGATCGGGCTGCACTGTTTTACAAAAAAAGAGGAACAAAAATATGAGCTATATGACCCAGTAATTTCCTTTTCTCCCACCCCTTGTAACCACACCCTTCTCACAAGAAAATTAAGAAATACTGAAGTCTAAAGGAGGATTTTGATTGCTTATTCCATTAATATCATGTTACAGGACACTGATGAATGTCCATACTGAAATTCCAGATAAGCAGAAAAAGCACAAACAGAAAATTAAACTCAGGAACAGAAAAAAGGAGCTTTATATTCACAGAAGAATTTGTTCCTTTTTTTCCCTTCTTTTCAAATTTTCCTTTTCTTTCTCCCCATTTCTGAATTCCCCTTGTCAATTCACTTCTGCATTCCAGAGTTAAAGAATCTCTCATTATATACTGGGAGGCATAAGAATAGTCAAAGCATCATTTTATATGTGTGGAAGGATTTTCACCGATACCCTTTAAGACCCCATCTGTTACACCCTGATGCTGAGAACCTACCCTGTAAAACTTGTCACTGATTAACCTAATAAAGCACAACAACAAGTCTGACTTGCAATACATTTGTAACCTAGATAGTCAGGACTTCTCAGAAAGTTTCCTTGCACATTTGGGAACCCGTGACATAGCTGGCAATTGCAGCCTAAAAGCTTTAGCTGAAAGCTTATTTGTGGACTTCAAATGTCTGTTGTAACAGAATGAAAAATCTGTTGCTCATTTTGCAGCTGACCTTGCGAACACACCTAAAAGCTAAAGCAAGGAGTTCTACTGATATTCAGAGAGCTCTGCTGAATTATCTGTACAAAGTCAGTTGATGAAAAAGGTGCCAATATTTCTATTTATCTTAGTTCAGTGACCTAGATTACTGAATATACTGCAGATTACACATCTCAGCCTTGAGTGCTTCTGTACACCTATGTACACGACCTGTATCGGTAGTAGGAAACCAACATTCGTTCTCTGACTTCTCCTTCAATCTTCTGGTCAATGACCAGGAGCATGACTCCATATAAATACAGGGCTTCACACTGTTTGAAAAGAGAAAGTATGAAGAAAGAATATCACATAAACATGATTTTGCAGCAACATTTAAAGAAAAACATGTATTGGCAAACTAACTCAGTGTCAACTATGTAGTTAACATAACATAAAAAATGGCAGGCTGAGGATTTTTGCTCTTTGTCCTCCTTGAAGTGAGTCACAGCACTTCCCATGCATTTGGTAAACCTAAATTTTTGTCTAGGTTGGCACTGCTGAGTGGGTTAATTTTCTACTATTACAAAACTAGTCAATACTTACTAGAAGCTGTTTTCCATCTTCATTAAGGAGGACGGTTTCTAATGTCTGCTGAATGTAAATTCCTTCATTGAGGTCATCTAAGTATCTAGGAATCATGATGAAAACTTTGGTCATTGACTATTTTGCTCTCAAACTAGAACTCAGTCAGTGACATTTTCTCTGAAAGCCAATTCATGCACCAGAACACTTCCCTAGAACAAGCAGCATGGTATTTTTCAGACAAACAAGAAGAGAGGCTCTCCTAAAAAATGAGAGACTGGAACCCCTAGCTAGTGCCAACCAGCTGGAGCCATATTCTGATGGTGTATGTGAAAGACCCTGCAGGATACCTGGCAGCATCCTCATAATCTTGCCATGGGTGATAACAGCCTGGGAAGGCTGCCATGCAATAACGTAGCAAAACTGTCATATTTTCAAGTTACCTAAGTATACCTCCTGGAAATACCATAAATTGATCTCAATTGCAATTTGGAAGGTAGAGCTAGAAATAGCATATGTTCACCTGAATTAAGAGAAGATTTATTTCTATTAAAGGATTTTCCAGCAACACTACTAAATAAGTAATAGCAAACATTTGATATTTTCATATAACATCAATAATAAAACCAACTCTCATGTTTAAGATTCTCAGTAACTTTTACTTAGAGCATTCAATGAAGTTTTAATTTTGCTTTTACACGTCAGAGTAGCAAACTTGATAATATGGCAACTTCACTGAAAAATTAAGTTCAAGAAAATAATGCCAATGAAAGTTAAAAAAACTCCAAATTATCTGATATTCTGTTTTGCAAGAAAAAAAAAAAAGTAGCTTAATAATATGGATTCTCCTTTTATTTAAAAAAAAAAAATCTTCAGGACAATCTCTATGACAAAGAAAAACTAACTCAAATTTACAACTGAGGAAATGAGGTAGAGAGGTTATATGTTTTCAAGTCATATATTAACCTGGCAGGGAACTGCTGGAGTAAAAGATAGTGTTCACTCCAGCAACCCAGGTTTGCTGGTGCACATGAATATGCTTCAACAAGGAGTATATTGTGTCTCTAAGGAAAAAGCTTCTCATCAATATGACAAAACAGTAATCTGGTCTTTGAAAATCTCTATGTATTTAAGATACCATACCTGTTTAAATCTACAATGTATTTATGTACACTCTGAAAAGCTAAATAAAATCTTGTCAGAATTTCAATGTTGTTCTCACGAAATTCTTCATCTAAATCCAGTAACTCAGGCTTGGCTTCCAGTTTGCCTTCACATGTCTCAGGCCCCTGAAAAACAGAAATTCACCTTTAGAGACAATACTTGACTTTGATCTCCAATTCTCTACAGTAGTACACAAACCATGCACAACCAACCCTGTGTGCAAACCAGAGTTACCATTTCTTACCAAAACAAGGATGTGTAGTTTTCTAACCTAGTTTATGGTTAAATATTGATTCTATAAAGATGAGTTTTACACATTGTTACAATCTGCAATTACTTTAAATACTATTTATCCAATGTAACCAATGGAAAAGAATAGCCAATGCTTTCAGTAAAGCCCCAATACATCTGAAAGCACTGGATGCTTTCTGTGGTGCTATTTCCCTGATGGAATGTTTTCCTTTACACATTTCTTTTGGTTGATTTCTCAGATTGAAACCATAACATTGAGGGCTCACAAAGCTTAGTACCTTCTCATACATTCAAACTGCTTGAAAATATTAGACATGTTTTTTCCACAGACTCTACATCTAGCTCAGCACTCGTCTCCTGAATTAATGCAGAAACTTTGTCATTAACAATCATGGGGGAAAAAGAGTTGGGATGAAGAACCTGACTTCCTTAAAGCAATAGTACAACTTTTCTAACCCTTTACCACTGCCATATTTCTCAAAAGCACTATGCAGTTTTACCATCACCAACTAAATGAAAATAATGCTAAAGTTTAATTGGAAGTATTATTATCATATTTCTCAAAAGCACTATGCAGTCTTATCATCAAATAAATGAAAATAATGCTAAAGTTTAATTGGAAGTATTATTAAAATTTAATTGAAAATACCCAGCTGACAATCTGAGTTTTAAAAAATATTCTTCTGCTTCTCTTTCTGTGCGAAATATCTGCATAAAAAAAGGATAAAAGCAAGCGCCAAACTATCATTGAAGTTCAAATGGACAAAGTAAATAGTCTCAATTTTTCAAATCTCAAATCTCTCCTCATTAAGTAATTCTAAAAATCATGTATACAGAAGGGGTGTATTTGCAGTAAAAATATTTGTGAATTCTCTAATCTCTGCTTTATAAGTTTGACTTCTACGGATTTATTTGGTTTTAATGATGAAAATCAGCACACTGTTATGCTTTCTCAACATTCAAAAATACTGAGGCTTTAAGGATTACTGTGTTTCTGAAAATATTTGTAAGTTCTCAAATCTCTGCTTCGTAAGTTTGACTTCTATGGATTTATTTGGTTTTATGGATTTATTCTTCTATGGATTTATTATGGTTTTAATGACAAAAACCAGCACAGTTATGCTTTCTTAACATTCAAAAATACTGAGGCTTTAAGGATTACTGTATTTCTCACCAATTACAGCTATATGTTTTTAAATTTTCAAGTAATTTCTTAAAAAAAAAGACTTCTACCAAGCACTTAGATCTAAAGGTAGCTGTGAAATCATTTGTACTCTGGATTTTCAGTATCTAAGCCTCATAGTGCCTGAAATTTACAACTTCTACTACAATGAAATTGAATTACATTTTAGAAGTGCCTCCCTTGCTTTCTTACTACCATTTCTTGTATTGCACAGTCCAAATAAAATCAGTTTAGACAGTCTCTGTTGTTCCTTCTTAGTCATGCTGGAAAATGACAGAGGGAACTTAGTACTGCAAGCTTAATTCTGAAAGAGAAATAAGGGCTTTCCATGGACATTCTCCTTGACTTATTTATTTATTTCTTCAGCACATGTGACAAGTCCAGAGGAAGAACAATCACAGCACTGTCAGACATGAAAGCAGTTTTCATGGCTGCAAAGAACAAGCTACAGATTAACAGAAGAAAGATGGGCATACTGCCCACGCCGCTGCTCTGAAGGAAAACAACCAACCATGCAGGCTCAGAACCTGCTGGAGGAAGTTTAATTTACTGGTCTTGCAGGAATTACTACTATTACTACTACCACTACTACTACTACCTCCCCAGAATCCAATACTCACATTTTATATAATAGGTATCTATCAAAGTTCATAGGCCAGATGACTCATCAAACATTTTGGAAGATGCGGTAGTAATAAACACAATAGTCAGGAATGGCTGTTTCACAGCCCAAAACATCCTCATGTGGGACAGCAATGCTCTAAGGAGAAGTTTAAAAATAAAAGGATTTACCTTGAAATAACTGAAATCAAATATGATATCTCCATACTTCTGCTGATCAGCCTTGTCCTTTAGCCTGAAAACACCAGGAATAAATTCGGAAAGTCTCAGAAGTTCTGCAATGATGGCATTTCCACAGGAAACAATCCGAAGAATTGCCTGACCACAGAGATTGTTTTCAGCCAGAAAATCCACCATTGTGGAGCTGGATGTGACAGAGCAGCAGAAGTCCTGCAGTCTGATTCTGGTCCTTACTCTTCAGGTTACTGGAAGCAGAAAGCCCGATGAAGAAACCAGCTGTGCCATTAATAACCTGTAAAAACAAACCCACACACATCCAGAGTGATTTATATTAATTGTTTTGATAGTTTAATTTGTAGATATTTAAGCATACTCTCCAATCTTTCAAATTATGAAATCTAAATTATCCACAACTTTGTAAAATCAAAGAAATGCACAGAATTAATTTTCAGCATGTACACTTAGTTCAAGAAGTGACCTGTGTGAGCAGGCAGGGGCAGTGTGATCTTTTGGAGAACAGTTGAAGGACACTATTGAAGAATGGAACAGTGACAAACAGTGAAACAATTATGACCAGGAGAGGAGATAAGGCCCAAGGAAAGCAAAACTACTTCACAAAATGTGTTTTTTAAGGGCCCCTTTAAAAAGACAACCAAAGTGATCATAATGGGTTTTAGCAATATGGAAAACTTTCATAGCAAATGGAAATGACACAGCTCCGTTCCTTTATTTATTGCTGAAGGACGAGCTTCCATGCTGTGGTTGCGTTTCCTGCTCAGTTTTATTCGTTCACACGTTTCCTGCGGGACACGGCGGCGTGCAGCACCAAAAATTAGCGCCTGTGCTCCAGAAACATTTACGGGAAGTTATGATCAGGCTTGACTTTTCACCAAACGCATTCTGAACCACTACGATACATTTAAGATGACAGCGAGCTGTCCCAAGACAGTTCTGACCCAGAACGAGCGCCCGGAGCCCTCCCAGGTCCCCAGTGCCGCCGCAAGCTCTGCTCCACAGGGGCACAGCGGGCCCCAGACCGCAGCGGCCGGACGGGCTCCGAACCCGCTCCGGTCCCGTCTCGCCCCCGCCGAACTCACAGTCTGCAGCCAGGCGGCCTCGCTCCCTCAGCGGCTCCCGCCCCGCCCGGCGCCCTCACCCTGCCCCGGCAGCGCCGGTGGGCAGGGGCGGCGGCGGCTGCGGGCACACAAGGATGCAGTGGAGGGTAAGAAGAATGGGAGGGAGACGGCGGCGCTCCCTACGACGTAGCCGAGCCCTCCCGTCACATGACGGCGCCGGCTGATGAGGCGGTTCCGCCTGCCCCGGTGCCCGGCGCTACCGCCCTCCTGCCAGTACCGCCGGGAGGGCGGCGTGGGCTGCCCCCGGGACAGCTGCACTCTCGAGCTGCGGGGACGAGGTGAGCAGCGGCCGCTGGCGACGGTGGCTGTCCCCGCCGGCCCCGTCCCCTCCGCGGGCGAGGGCAGCGCTCCCAGCCGGGGGTCGGGAGCGGCGGCGGGACGGGTGCGGGGCCGTTTCTCCGTGCGGACTGCCCGGCCTGCCCTGCACCGGCTGAGGCGGCGAGAGGCCCTGCAGCGCGGAGCGTCCTGCTCGGCGGGCGCTGCTCCCCCAGCCCCTGCAGGGAGGATCCTCTCCCTGGGGCCCCTCATCGCCGAGTGTTCCTGGGGCTGGACACCGATCCTGGTGCTCAGAGAGCACTTGACACCTGCAGAGCTGCTGTTACAGAACCAAATAATACTTTTTTCTTACCTCTGCTTCATAGTTTGAGATATTGAAACGTAGAAAGTTTAGGTAATTTCCTCAAATATTTAAAATAGCGAACAGAATAGAAACTGTAGGCTTTTTCGTCCTTTATCCTGTCTGGACCATTTCATCACTTGCTGAAAGAAAAAAAAAAATGCCCTCAGTAGTCTACGTTTCAGCACGGAGTTTGCTGGTTGTGTTTTCCAGGAGTGAGGGGGCTGGGGATTGCGCATGATAAGTGCTTGGATGCACCCATCGAAGACCTTCCTGGCAGAAAAGTGTGGTGGAAACACTGCAGTGAAACCAGTTCCAGAGAGGAATGTGCCCCTCCCTTGGAAGGCAGAATGGACAGCTCCCAGCTGAAGTTGAAGAATTCACTTAGAAAGTTCAAGAGTGAAATCTTTGCCTTGGTATCTATAGCAGACCTGAGGAACAGCTGACTGGCTCAAAAGTGCCAGCTGGGAAGTGATGGGGGAACAGCCTGTAAGCCCTGAAGTGGCAGAGAGTAGAAGATAAAAGGAAACAGCACGTGGGCCAAACACGCTCCACTGCCAGGGGTTTAGAAGCTGCTGAGAAAATGCTGGATCCTGGGGTGCTGGCCATCTAACTTTCTCTCCTCATTTTCTTTTTCTTTCTTTCTCTGGTTTTCTTACATACTCTTCTTCTCAAAATATGTTGTAAGTCAGACTGAAAACTTCCAGTGTCTTCTTGTGTCTGGAAAACTTCCAGTGTCTTCTTGCTGAGCTAAAGTTTGGGAAGTACTTTATTTTGTCTGGATGTTTTAAAATTTGCCAAGTACCTTATTCTACTTGAATGTTCTAAAGTTTTCAAATAAAAGTTGTTATTGAGTCTCCTGGTAATTTGGTTGTTTTGCCCATGCACTGCCCAGGGTATATCCCACTGCCTTCCTCTGAACCCTTAGGGGGACGGCTGGGGCATTACAGGATTGTAACCAGTTTGTAAAAAAAAACAACCTTTTTTTAAAAAACAAAAAAAAAAAAGGAAGTTTCATCCAAAAGAAGTTACTTTCCAAAAGACAGATTGAGATGAACCTACCACTGCAATGATATGATTTAATGTCATAACCAGTAACTTCTGCTCCTGTGTGGTTTGCTCATGAAAACGAAGGAGCCTTTTTTAACTTTTCATTATTGTTGGTTTGGTTTTTTTTTCAGATTCCTTCTTTCAGTGTGTATCTTTGAAATTTCCAAAAGAACAGCAGGCTTTCTCAGTGAGATTTACCAAGTTCAAGAGGGGAATTAGGCTCTCTTTGTTAACTTTGATACACAAAATGGGCTCAGAAAGATAAAGCTGCTAACATGATTTTATGTCTCTATTCAGTAGTGTACGTTTGGATCACAGAGGTTCTGTACAAACAGTCTTGCTAAGATGGCAAACAAGTACCTTAAAAAAAAGTTAAATAATATACTAACTGAGGAATTTGTTATTAAATATTCAAGAGCATCCTTCGTCTTTACTTTCAAGGAGTTCTATAAGGAACTTTTCCCTTGTCTTCTGTTGTCAGTTTGACAGCCTCCAAAGATCTGTAATGACAGGAGTCACAGTCTCCTGTCAGGAGAGCATGAGCTGACATAAGAAGAGCTGTAGTTGAAGCCTGCTGCATCTCTGGAAAGATGCACCTTTAGAAGGGGATAGAGAGGAAGACAAGAAGTTGTAATTTTGCATGTAATTAAGAAGTTCAATTTGTGGTGAGGTTGAACTGTTGTTAAAATGTTGCTGGAAGCACATGACCTAAAGATGGTGTACTAAAAGATAGTCTTGACTGGCCAAGCACATTTTATGAATGGAAAAAAAGGAAAATGATAGGAAATGAACAGGAGACAGCAGGTATTCAGGTCTCATAGTCTGCATGGTACTTGTAAGGAATGTGGCAATGTTCAGGTTAGGGGGAGCACAAGGTGTTGTTCTGGAGTCTCAGGGAAAGCAGTAGAGAGAGATACAGCCTTAGTTGGGAAAAGCACTGTACTTTGTATACATGTTTTCCAGATTGCTGTTGGATTATAGCCTGTTAAAGGCTGTTATTAGAACAACTCTTCCCCTTCTGGTATACCCCAGATTTGTTTGTGGATTCTGCTATGTTCCCCAATGGCATTTCAGTATAGTCCTTGAACATACTAGTTATTCTTTACATGGACTAATGCAGTATTTCTGTCTGTCCAAGAGTTCTGCTTTGCTGTGTTTATTTATTTATTTATTTATTTTTTGGGGGGTGTAGCTAAAGCTGAAGCAGAAATTTTCTAATGTGCAACTTGAAGTATAAAATTCTATACACCAGGTTCACATTTCTCACAGTAGCTACATCTCTGAGTGGGTTATGGCAAATCATGAAGAAGGAAGAGCAGAAATTGAGGATTTTTGAGAAGAAACCAATTTATGTAAGCAGTGTGGATAGGCACAGCATAAGCAAAAACACTTGAAGGTTCTACTAATGACAGAGCAGCTAATCCCCACAAGGGTGTAGGCTGTGGGTGTGCATTGCAGGGCCAGAGGGTGGTAAAGAAGATAAACAATGGTACCTGGGTGACTTTATTTTGTGCTAATGGAATATGGGTACCAAAAGTTTGTAACATCTTTGGCAGAAATAAGCAGCATTTTAAAGGTGGGCTTTTATTTAAAAATGATGCTAGATGTTTTACTCTTAAGTACATTCTTAGTAGAGCGACCCTTTGTTAGATTATTTTTTCCAATTGAATGTGAGAAACCATATTTCTTCCTAGGCTAATTGATTATATGCCTGGATAACCCAGACAAGTTTTTGGGCATGTGGGCTTTTTTGGATCTTCTTTTGGATCTGAAATAGAGCAGTAGTTCTCAAGCAGACATAATTGTGGAGTTTGAACTTCACTGAGGTTTAGTGGTAGAAATGAGCAGAGGAAAATACCAGTTGCTTTTAGTGGTGTAGTTTTGCTTAATACTGAATAGGAGGTGAATTGAAAACCTGTAAGATGAATTGCACTTTCACTGAAATTACTGACATCTTGGGAGCTAAGTTTTCATCCCTGCTCCCTAATGTTTCAGAGATTCTGAAGTTGACACTTCTTTATGTTTAGCTATCTATTAGAACTTACGTTTTCTGTCCCAAATTCTTTGTGTGCAAACTGCTTTTAATTTGTTCTCTCTGTTATTTCTAGAGTAACAGTTTCAAGATGTCAGGTGGTCCAAGAGTCTCGTTCAATGCAATTGATTCTGCTCTTTCTTCTTTGAAAAACTGCCAGTCCTACATCAACTCTGGAATGGATGTGGCTACTCAGGTTGCCCTTGACCTTGTGGAAAGTTTCAGTAAGTATATTCTCTCTTGTATTGCATCCTGAATCTGACAGATAAGTGTCAGACCTACGTATTTTGACTTAGGTACTGTTAATATCAATCTTTATTATAGCTCTTCTGGCCTTGCCAGGGTGTTTTCATTACAATCATTTCACTTAAATGAAAAATTTCATTTAAATGATAAATTCAGTGAAAACATAAATACCTGGCAAACATTGTCCTTGCTTTTGTGATAGCCAAGACTAATTGGCTTCCAGTGATTGTCACCCTACAGCTTTGTAGAAACTTTAACATTGAGATGGAGAAGGCCCCTCAAGTGGCTGAATAAAATGAGTATTCGTTATCATACTACTTCTTTGTGTGTGTTTTATTTGACAATCAGGGCAAAATATATTAAAATATATATACTAAAGATCTTGAATACAAAGCTTGAGACACCCCTTAGGGGATGCAAGTTTTTAAAAGCTGTCTCTCCTGAAAAATCAGGCCTTTTTTAGGATGCTACATTTTGGACATTTCCAAAGTCGGGTACTTTAAATTTCTAATTACTGCCAATAGTCTTGTCATTGCTATTTCACAATAAAAGGAGCACTGCAAAGCTACTTTTCAAGGACAAACATTAGCTGACCCATTTCCCTATCTTGGATCTGTGTTAATGTTTTCACTAGGGAAAAATAAAAACTTTAAAGCTCCAAACCCCTGATAGTTTTAATAAAGAATGGAGAGTGGAGAACAAGAATCTTCTGAAAGAAAAGCTCTGGTGTTCATTATAAAACTTGCACTCAACTAAGCCAAGGATTACGTACAATCAAGATGAATATTTTTCTCATTGTCTGGTGTGATGGTTCTCTCTTCTTTCACCTTTTTATCCGTAGTGCTGTCAGAGACAACTGACATACCATTTCTAGCAGGAAGAAGAAATGGAAAGCTTGTCTGAACAGTCACCTGGGGATTCCCTTGGATGTAAAACTTGTGTAACCAGTTTCATTTCCCCTCTGCTTCAGCAGTCACCATCTCTCCTACTTTGTCATAAGCAATGCATAGAAATGCATTGAATGTATTGAGACTGCAGAAATTTATTATTTATACAAAAATTAAAAGTTTTCTGTTAATTTCTCTTTTCAGTAGAAGCCCCTGTTGCATTCCTGTTAGGAAGGGTGTAAGGCAGCTTAAGCTCAACTGTGTAGGACTGCAGCTCCAAGTCTGTGCCTTGTACTACTAGTATCTCTTCCTCATTTACCTGCTTCTGCACATTAATCTTTAATTAAAAGCTTGAAATTATTTTCTTCACTTAACTCAGTAACCAAAAGGACCATTTTTAGCATTCTATCCTGAGAGGAGGAGATTACTCCTGATAAAATACCTGGTTACAGTTAAGTTTCATCATGTGACTGGAAAATAGCTCCTACCTAGACCATAACACATTTTATTCTAGCAAAGGCAACTTTCCTTTTGAATCATGGTTATAGAATTACCAAGTATGATCTATTATCATAGTACATCCCATTGCACTACAGAGAAAGTATTCCAGATTTGTAGGATTTGTAGGTCATGCTTCTTTGGTCTGGTATTCCCAAATTACATGTTTAGCTACAACAGTTGTCTTCTTCACTCCTATACCTTTCCTTGCAGATGTATTTACATGGAATGAACAGATAGTGAAGGTCCTCACTTCTGTAAAGTTTGGTTTTCATTCCCCTGACTACTCTGCTGGGACTTCAAGTTCTTGTGCTCCTTACAGAATGCCATCAGGAAAGATGCTGGGTTTCTGTGGCATGACATGCTTGGTAAACTCTTGGTGTTTTAGAATTAGCATCATCTGATCTGCTGGACTTGACTGTTCAGCTCTTAGATCCAGCTCATATGTGGCAGTTTCTGTTTCTAAAGCTGTTGCTCATCTATCCTCCTTTGCCTTCATATTCTGAGGCAAAATACTAATTTAATTTTGAGACAGAGTTAGATAATATATTTCTGTGGGGTTTTTTTTTCTGTCTCATTTGTAATTTGCTTTAATTTCCTTTGCAAAATTTGACTGTCCAGCTTCTGACAGGTTTCATTGCCCGGCTTTGTGGAAGCAAGAAATTCAGTTGCAACCGTTTGTTTTAGTTTACAAGCACTTTTTCTGTGTGTTTGTTTTGTTCCTTTAGTCTTTCATAATGGACAATGCTGTTTTTTGTGAATAGTTATGAAGTACATAGCAAGTACATAGCACAGTACATGAGAAAAAATTACATTTGTTTCCCAAGGTAACTGAAAAGACAGAAAAGTTAGTTCAGTGAGTGATTTTTCCTCTCTCAATTCCTATTCTCCACATACAAAATCCTGAAAACATTTACTGTTAAATGTATTTATTAAATGTTTATTTTGTTCTACTCCTGTATAGATTTATGAAAAGAAATTACTTGTGTTCAATATTTGGGGCAGGCATTGCTCATTTATGAACCTGTACAATCTCTAGAAAAATAAGGCTATTTCTTATTAATAAGGCTATAACTAATAACAGCTAAATGAGTGCAGGGTAATTTTAATTTATATAATAATGAAAATATCTTATTTTTTAAGAGGTTTTGTTGATGTCCATGAACTTAAAATGTTGATTAAGATCTCCCTGTCAATTGAGAACCTGATGACTTTTAGCACTAAATAGGTGTTATGAATATGTGCTGACAGTGATAGAATTTTAAAAGATCCTGGAGGGGTTTAAAGATCTAAAGGTGAAAATTAGTTTCAGCAAACTGAATGTGAAAGGGAAACAGCCAATTTGAAAGCTCATTTTATTTAATGAGTGAAAAAGAAAGATAAACCTTTTGTCCTTCTCAGTCTTTCTGCTGATTATCTTTTAGATGACATTGTCTAACGGTTGTATTTTTCTTTTCTTTAAACAACACTGTTGTTGTATAGAAGCATTTTGAAAAGTTACTATATAAATAAATTACATAAGCAAAAAAAACAGACTGTGCACGCTTGGTTTCAGTATGTCCTGCCTATGCTCAAAATACTGTTGGACATTCTGTGGCCCAGGCTAGTAAAATACTGAAGGAAGGGACACACTGATATTTGTAGGTGGTCCACCAGCCTTCCAAGGGTCTGAATATTTTAAAGCTAAAGCACAGGCTTATGTCCTATGCTATATTGGAGACCTAATAAATTTGAGAATTTGAAGATGACACTGTACAAAATCAGTTGTAATGCAAGTAAAATCCTCTCAGTTGCATCTTCCTAAATCTTGCCTGATTCTGGTTTTGAGCTTTAGTAGTGTGATTGCAGAAAGAGAATTCATTAAGTCATTTGTCACAAGTACTTGTTTGGCAACATCTCTGAATTGTAATGCTCTGAGTATTGAACTTTGAGCCGTGTGTTGACACCTCTGCACACTGAGGAACAGATGTTTGCACTACTAATTTAACTTCTCTTGGTTGAATTTACTTTACTTACCTAGTTGGAGTAGTTCTGTAGACTTAGAAAGCACTGATGGACATCCAAGTCAAATACTTGAACAATAAGTTTTATTCTCTGTTTTTGGAATTAGTGAAACCTGCAATTCCTTGTTGACTGATGTGCTGATTATGGTAAGAATATGCTGGCCCAGGACAAATCTGTCATATCCATGACAGACATCCATTCCCAGCTTTGCTCAAAATTTTTGGATGTAAATTTGGTCAGCTTGCTGAGTATGGCAGTTTCAGGTGACTCTTCAGCAGAACTTTCTCAAGAATATGGGATTGTAAAGTATGGAGAGCTGTGGATATTTGAATGAAAAAATCAAACTTGTGGTCATCTCCAGGCTTCCAGTCCAATAGCTGCTCCTTAGATGGGGTGTTACTTTTGTCTGGGTTGGAGTCCAAGCTGGAAGGATTGTCCAGAAAATGGGAAATAACTGGGAGGTCTGGAGAATATACTAACTACAGGCAAGATAAGAATTTATTAGCATTAAACTTTTGAAAAGTGTTTTAAAGAATGAACAGTTAGGGTTTTGTCTAATCAGCTGAATGGGTTTTCTGTAGAGAGCGAGATGATGTCTGGGTCATTCTTTCAACCCCGCATCACTTTCCCAGTGTGAAGTGTAGAGGCCATGAAATGTGGAATAGCTGTTTTAGGGAAGCAGTTACTGCAGGTAAATTCTGATCTTACTTGAGGAAAAAAAAAGAGCTACCTTTTCTTCAAAAACTTGCTGAAAATGTCATGGTCATCTGCTGCCCATGGCTGTTTGTCATATGTATTACATATCAGTGATCATCTTGTAGCACTATCAGGATCTGCTTGAGAATTCCTCCTGCTTTCTTACCATCCTTTGAAGGGTTTTTCTGCTCACCACTGTGTACAGAACAGGCCCAGGGGTCTTAAAAATGTCAGTGATAGAATTCTTCGGCACGTTCCCCAGATTAAGTTAGAGTTACAGCTCTGGCTTTTCTTTCTTGTCTGGTCACTGCATAACCTGCTCCTTCTGCCAGCAGAGTTTACCTCGATTCTGTCTGCTTACTCCATTTGTCTGTTTCCCTGTCCCAGGGCTGCCTCTCCCCTTTTCTTCATGTGTGCAGCCCTGCATCTCATATGTGCCATGTCTTCCTTTTCTGGCTGCTTTCTCATCTCCAGTTGGTTAAGATCCAGTGCCATCATGCCCATTCAGTACTAATTAAACAGTAGTTGATAATGTAGGATCTTCTAACCCTGTGAGATTATCCACATTACTTTGACTTATATCACTGCTCATTAGAATGGTTTTAACAAGAACAGCTCTAAACATTGCTGAGGGTTGTTGACATAGGAAGAAATGTGGAGCATACAGATGTGGCAGTTAGCCTTGTTTTATGAAATTATTGCCAGCCTTTTGATAGACAGGTGGATGAGTTTGTATGAAATATCCACTATTATTTGGAATGACTTTCTAAACTCATTGCAGCAGCCTAAAACAGTCAGACTTGAACATTCTAAGTTTGTTCATCCCTGAGAGAGGGGCCCTTTCTATGCAAGTTTCTCTGTCATAGACCTAAAACTTCTACTTGGAATGGTAT